TAACCAGATAGTGTACTCTCCCAAAGACAAGGTTGTATAGAATATTGTTCCATGCAACTCCCTGGTTTCTGCATGTCCTATAAGCCCTTTATCTGAGGGGTTTTGTTGGGGTATGGTAGGCAGACAAAGGTTTTGGCATTCCATGACCAGATTTTCAATGTCGATTCTAATTCTGAATTTCAGCAAATTACTTTCACTTAACTTCTTTCTTTAAGCCTCAATACTTTAATCTGCTAAAAAGAAGTAATTTTTCTGACCTTAAGCCTTTCTCCCTCTAATTTGTTTTTCACATACTTGTCAGAGTGATAGTTCTAAAATACTATCCAAATCATGTTATTAACCTCCTCAAAATCCATCTCTTGCTCTCCTTTGCTTTAAGGATAAAGTTCATATTCTTTAGCCTGACGCTCAAGGTTCTTTAGAACCTACCTTTCTTGTTTTATTTCACTTTAACTTCCCTCATCCTCCATATATTTTAATGTCGCTTCAGTCCGAATTAACCTAGTTATTAGCAGGTTCAAGCTTAGAATCCACATTCCATGATATGAAGTTCAATATTATTTTTATTCTAACACCGTCAACAATTAACAAATCTCTAGAAGGAACTTCTTCTAGAAACTTATTAAATTTACTACCCTCAGAGCATGCTTACTATTTCATCTTTTATTCTATTGAATATTTTAAAGCAATCAATTAACATTGTTGCACCACTCTGCTAGGTGCTGTGTTATCTGACAGAAGTAATATACAGTCCTTCCATTTAAGGAGCTCAAAATGCAGCAGGAGGTATAAAGACAAACAAAAATAATTCTAATCAGCATAGTGTCTGTTCCTCTCTTTTGACATAAAGTAACATATATCAGAGCAGAGGGACAGAGACTGTCCTTGGGCAAGTGAAGAAGTAAGAAAGAGTATAGAATTGGGAATTAAGAGCCCTGGATGCTGATTTCAGTCCTGCTATTAACTTTCTACATGACGTCAGATAAATTCTTTCTCCTTTCTATGCCTGAGGGTCCTCATCTAAAAAAATGAGGGGTTGGAATTGACTCCTCAGACTCAAGTAAACGTTATCATCATCTTTATAGCTAACATTGCATACTGTCTCAAAATAAAAATAACAACTCTCATTAGCTGAGTACTTACTATGTGCAGGCACTGTTTTAAATATTTTACATAAATTTAATACTCACAGTAAACCTATGAAGCATTTATTGTTATTATTGTTCTCTCTATACAGATGAGAAGTCAGAGGTAGGAAGAGGTTAAGTAAGTGATAGATCTGTGATTTGAACCTACTGGTTACACAAAGTACTTCAGTACTTTCCCCCTACATTCTTTATAGCTTCTTAGAGATGAGCACCACTCTTATAGCAATGGTGCTTAATCTTGTAGCTCCATGGAGACTAGAGCATTAACCTTGCCTTAGAATACTTGGTCATATTCCTTTAATCAGTTTTAAGCAGTAGGCACATTTTTATTACATATACCCATTGGCAGATGTAGTAATTCTCTCAAAACCAGTGTCTGTCATTCCTCTTTCTGGATAATTTCACTTCAAAAATATTTAAAATGCTAGTCTGCATCTTGCTGATGACTTTTTAAATTACAAACTAGAATATGGCTCATTTATTGGTATTTTAGAAGCATGAGTAACAATACAGTTAAACAAATCTTATCAAAATAGATAAATGATGCAATTTCAATTTTTCTCATGTATTTCCCTTTTACTCGCCAACCCATAAAATCGATAATTGAAATCGATTCCTTTCAATTAATGTGAGTTTAATATAGCACTACACTCTATGGGCTTATATATATGTATATGTGTCTACATACACAATTTTATAAATATGTATGTATACATACATATATGTATTTAAACTTATGGTTTTAGAGGAGAATATATAGAACCTTAAGGATAATTTCTTCTTCACCTTTTCTCATTATTCTACTTTTTAAGGTGCTTTCACAAACATTGTAACTGGATCATAAGGCCTTTATGATCCTTCCCAATAAATTGATTCTGATGTTTTAATTTTATTTGTATTTTGAGGGTCATAAGTCCTCAACAACTCTGTGAACTAGGCCGAGCATTAGTTATCCTCTTCATTTACAGATGAGGAATCTGAAGCTCAGAGATAAAATGACCTGTTACAGATCACATATCTAGAAAGGGAAAGAGCCAAGACTTGAAGTTATGTTTCTCTGATTTCAAAGTCAGCATTCCTTTTGCCACATCATAATGTCACCTCTGCATTTTTCATGTATGATTTTATTTAAGCCTTTTATAGATCAGGCAAACTGCAATTGTTGTGGCTGCAGTTAAGCCTAGCAATGATCAGGGTTACTGAATCTGACCCATATTTGGCCAGATCCGGTGAAAGACAGTCAGGTTGTTTCGCAGGCAAGGAAGACACACAGACAGGCTTAGGTCAAGACCACAAAAAGCTCCATAGGAGCTCTTTATTCTTTGCAACTTGGCTTCACCCTCAGGTCTAGGAAAAGGCATTGGTCAGATCAATTCTACCCATTGTCCCCAGGAGGCAACTCTCATTCATATTTATGTACAATTCTTTCAAACTGCTTTCTGATGCAATTTTACTTTCATTTGTATGATGGTTTAATGCTTTCTCATCCTGCACATACATAATATAGACCATAAATGCCTTGAGGTCAAGATCACACCTGTTTTTACTCATGAATGTATCCCCAGAACCTGGAATTTGGTAAATAATAAATAATTGTTAAATAAATGTTGAATGCACACAAATATGAAGTGTCAATTGCTTACTCAGTGCTAGACTCTATTCTGGGTGCTGCTACCTTTTTGCCTATTAAAACTCACTGAATCATAATCACCCAATGAGACAGTAAAGGACACTATGAAGTTGTATGACCTCATGACCAACATTCTATAGAGTTGCTTTTACTCCCCAGATTTCCATTCAGTCTTCAATCTACTGCATTCTGGTATCTGGTTCCACCATTCTATTAGAATTTCTTCTTTCACAAATCTTGGAACATCTTTTAAAACCTTCTCCCACAGGACTGCCAGTATTTGACATTGTCAGTAAATCCTCCTCCTCCTCTTCTTTCTTATCTTGCCTGGTAATATTCCATCATGGTTTTCCTTTTATATCCACATCTACTCTCTCCCATTCTTTGTCTTAGTCTCCTTTTCTTTTGAGGACCCTTAAGAGTTACACATTCTTCAAAAAAGTCTCCCCGCTTTTCTTATTTATACTCTTTAATTCATATAACTTCAACTACCATCTACAAACTAATACCATCTGGATATATCTAATTCCTAGATACTCTCATGAGGTTCAACTCCACTTTTCCAAATATTTTTCTGGCAAGTGGAGAGTACAGGAAGGACATTTGATGTTTTGTTTGTTTTGCAGAGAATGTGATAAAAGCATACTGCTGGGAAAACTTCTAGCATATTTGGGTATTGGGTAAAAGTTGTAGATAGTTAGAGGCTGTTATGGACTGGATGCTTGTTGCCCCCTCCCCAAATTCATATATTAAAATCTAACCCTCAGTGTGATGGGATTATGAGGGAGGAATTTCTGGGAGGTGATTAGGTCATGAGGCTGGAACCCTCACTAATGGGATTACTGTTCTTAAAAGAAGAGACCAAAGGGCTAGTTTGCTGTCTTTCCACTATGTGAAGACCCAAGGAAAAGTTGGTTGTCTGCAGCATGGACCTTCACTAGAACCTGACCATCTTCATGCTGGCATCCTGATCTCAAACTTCCAGCCTCCAGGACTGTGAGAATAGATTTCTGGTGTTTATAAGCCAGCCAGTCTATGGTACTTTGTTGCAGAAGCCCAAACTAACTAAGAAGCATTCATTTTATTTTCTTTGTACAGATTATTTTTATGAAAAAAAATCTAGTATACAATAGGAACCTAATAAATATTTTTGAATAAATTAGGGAGATTGGTTTAGAAAAATTTTGTTCTTAGAATTTTCCAAATATAATTTATTATTACAACAATTAATGAGAATATATTGGGTTTCTGACATTTCTTTAATCTACTTATTTTCACGTGTTCCCACTGCCACTGCTCTCATTTAGACTTCCATCATCTCTGTGTCCAATAATGTGTTCCCCTCTAATTGGCCTTCCATATAATCCCAAAAATGATCTTTCTAAAAGCAAATTTGGTTGTGTTAGTGTCCTACTCAAACTCTTCAATGACCTTAATTTTTATACATTAAAGGATTAACTCAAGTTTATATTCAAGAGGTTGCCTCTTTCTGTGTGCTAGTCACATTGAGCTACTATCTGTCCTTGAATCACTATTTTTATTTCGTATATTTCTTATACAACTTCAACTACTTATGAGAGCCTTTGCTATTCTTTTACCTCTGCTTTTTACACATACATCTGTCTGAAATACTTTAACTTTCTGTGATGTTTAATATTAGGTTTCAACTTGATTGGATTGAAAGATGCCTAGATAACTGGCCAAGTATTGTTTCCCAGTGTGTCTGTGAGGGTGTTTCCAGAAGAGATGAACATTTAAGTCAGTGTACTGGGAGAGGAAGACCCACCCTCAGTGTTGATAGGCATCATCCAATTGGCTGCTAGCCTGGCTAGAACAAAGCAGGCAAAAGAAGGTGGGATAAAACTGGCTTGTTGAGTCTTCTGGCTTCATCTTTTCTCCCATGCTGGATGCTTCCTTTTGTTTCTCCTGCCCTTGGACATCAGGCTCCAGGTTCTTTGCCCTTTGGACTCTTGGACTTATACCAGTGGTTTGCTGGGGGCTCTCGGGCCTTCAGCCACAGACTGAAGGCTGCGCTGTTGGCTTCCCTACTTTTGAGGCTTTTAGGCTCTAACTGAACCACTACTGGCTTTTTTCTTCCTCAGCTTGCAGACAGTCTGTCTTGGGACTTCACCTTGTGATCATGTGAGCCAATTTTTCTTTTTTTTTTTCTTTTTTCTTTTTTTCTTTTTTTTTTTAATTGCATTTTAGGTTTTGGAAATTTTTCTTAATAAACTCCCTCTTGTATATACATATATCATTTTAGCTGTGGCCCTATGGAGAACCCTGACTACTAATACACTTTCTTATTTTGCTTGTAACTCACTATTAAGCCCTTAGTACAGTGTCTCCATATAGTAAGCATTTGATAAGTGCAGTGAGTATCATGCCATCATTGATGTTATTGTCACTGTTATCATCATCATAAAGTGTGAGGGATCCTAGCATATCAGATGTATCAGAGATTTTACAGATTACTTAGTCCAATTTGCATTTTACATATGGACAAATAGATCCAGGAAAATTAAGAGGTTGGTTCAGACTTTTGCAGCTTGTAAGCAAGATAGCAGATCAAGAGAGCTAGAACCTAGCTGAACTAACCTTGTTCACTGCCCCAATAGGCCTCTTTTGGTTTTCAGATTATTTTACCTTCCGACTGATTGGTAGCAGCAACTGATACAGAGGAAAGAGCATAGCTAGTCTTAGCTGTGCTCAAGTTCTGGCTGCTCTATTTAGTTGATAATATTATTCAACTCATAGAGCTGTTAAAATGCACCCCCCCACACACAACCCCTGTTGACGTCGTATTTGGCACATTTCCCCTCTAACACCTAGGTTAGAGGGATTCTAGAACGTATAATTATGCTGGGCCAAACAGTAGTTGGTTTTTAAAACTTGTAGGAGGGAAATATCATGGGAAGAAAGTTAGGAGCATATTGTCTTCAGGCATGAGCAGAAACTCAAAATAGATTTCTGCATACGGGTTTCTAGTCGTGCTTGGGAATGCAGCCGACTGAGCACAACATGGCCCTATCCTGGAGCTCTGCCAGCTTTGCCCACACTATGAGTGGCACAGGTGCATCTGTGCCTGTGGCCCATATTATATACCCTTCACAGGTTCAAGTATATTTTGGTTCAACAAGAGGTATAGAGAGGCCTGCAGAATGTTCTAGGAATTTCTGGACCAGTTTCCTACATCGTAGTACTCATAGATCCACACGTCCACACGTAGAAAATTTTATAGGACCACTTACCTAATTTGAAGAAGAAAGTGCCTTCATGGTTTTGTATGTCTTCTTCCTGTCCATACGTCTGTCTCTCTCAGACCTGATATTTCTCAATTTGAACTCAATTTGAACTTGAATAAATCAGACTGGGATGATCTTCATTTGGGGAATTTATAATATTTCTATCTTCCTGTGCAGAAAAGCTGAAATTATATCAAAGAAAATGAAAACTTTCATTCATTAAGAGGAAGTAAAGTAGCTTGTATTGATTTTCCACCATTTTGTTGTTTACTTTTTAAATAAATCATTTGAAATAGATATTAATGTCTTTTAACAATGAAATTGAGATATTAATAATCAGCAAGTTTACTAACTTAAGAAAGATGACAAAGATAGTGAGCACTGGAGTGAGATTTTAAATGAAGCCCTATCTGACTCCTGCTTTACCATGAAATCCCCAAGTAGCTCTATCACTTTTCTTCCTAACTTTTCAGCTGAGCCTCCTTCAAGGTTTCTGGATTGTGTTTGCACTCCTATTAGATGAATACAAATTATATATTTCCATTCCTCACCCCTTATTTCTGCCTTCCTTCTCCCTAGTATGTCTCGTTTCTCTGACTATTGCTTTTAGATTGAGTATGATGTTGATCAGGATCTCACTGAAAGTATCACTGGCTAATTAATTTCTTCCCTCAAATCCTCATTAGATATGAATTGTATAACTGTTAAAAATAAGCACTAGGGACTTTGCTTCAAGATGTGCAGTAGTGTTAAGAAGTCACATATGTGGGTTCCAACAAAAAGTATTGGTACCAATTTTATTAGTTTGCCAATTTGGAGGAGTAAATGAGAGAGAGAGAGCCAGAGAGAGTAGGCTTTGCTGGGGAGGAAGGAGAGGGGAGACAGAAACAGAGAAAGGAGAGGATTTAGAATGGAAAGATTTGGTTTAGGCCTCTGGCATTATGTGACTAGGGTATATTGTTTAATTTCTGTAAGCCTTAATTCCTTCATTGACTATAAGGAGACGTGTCTCTGCTCTCACTTCCTCAAAAGGTGTATTAGTCAGGGTTCTTTAAAGGGGCAGGACTAATAGGTTAGATATATATATGAAAGGGAGTTTATTAAGGAGTATTGACTTACACGATCACAAAGTGGAGTCCCACAATAGGCTGTCTGCAAGCTTGGGAGCAAGGAAGCCAATCTTAGTCACAAAACCTCAAAACTAGGAAAGCTGACAGTGTAGCCTTCAGTCTGTGGCCTAAGGCCTGAGAGACCCTGGCAAACCGCTGGTGTAATTTCAACAGTTCAAAAGCTGAAGAACTTAAAGTCTGATTTTTGAGGGCAGGAAGCATCCAGCATGGAAGAAAGATGAAGGCCCTAAGACACGGCCAGCCTAGTCCTTTCATGTTCCTTTGAGTGCTTTTATTCTAGCTATGCTGGCTGCTGATTAGATGATGCCCATCCAGATTGAGGGTTGGCCAGCCTCTCCCAGTCCACTGAGTCAAATGTTAGTCTCCTTTGTCAACACCCTCACAGACACACCCAGGAACAATACTTTGCATCCTTCAATCAAATCAAGTTGATACTCAGAATTAACCATTGCACAAGGGTACTGTGAGTTCAGTGAAGACATGGATATAAAAGTATCTTATAGATTGCAAAGTGCTTTACAATTACAGATTGTAGTAAGGACAATTCCGTATTTTAAAATAACAGTGTTATCACATGCATTTTTTTTCTTTCTTCCTTATTTCTCAATATTTTGGTTCACGAATTGCTATTCTATGGTCCAAAGTTTTCTCTGCTTGTGTGAGAGTCCTTGAGTCTCTGGGGTCTAGAACCAAAGTTACAGGAAGCAGTCTCTTACCTGAATTCAGGCAAAGGAGAATTGCAAAACTGGATCACAGAGTAGAGAGCCAAAGTCTGATAAGTGAAAAGTAAGCCAATTGTCTAAAAGGGTATCTGAGCTGAGAATATTACCTCAGAATTCTGTAGCCTGAGAGCAGGATGAGCCAAGTGTAGGCTGAGGCAATTTCTCAGTAAAGGCTGGAATATTTGCAACTGGATATGCGTTGGCTATGTTTAAATACAGACCTGGGTTATTATGAACACACATTATACAGATATGTTCATTTTGATGTGTTTCTGACTATCAAGCTACTCTTTCAGATATGCATCATAAATCACTTTCAAGGTAGTTAGGGTCTATTATGTTCTTGGAGCTGAATTCATCATGACTAAAATTATTTGAGCATTCAGATTTTTTTCCAAAGTTGCCATTTTTTCTGATTTCATTAAAAAGTATACTTCTTTTTTTTTTTCATGACATAGAACAATTAAGATCACTTGTTTCCTTTGTGAGAGAGTTCTACTTTGCTTTGGAAATATATCATTTCAGAAGTAATACTCTCTTTCTTACCACCTATGAATATCTGTATATCTATTAGTCAGGCTTATCCAAAGAAACAGAGCAAACTGAGTGTGTAGATATATAGAAAGAGATTTATTATGAGGAATTGGCCCACGTGATTATGAAGGCTGCTACGTCTAAAATCTACACTGTGATCTGGCAGTCCAGACCCAGAAGAGCCAATGGCGCAGTTCCAGTTTGAAGGCCCTTGCCCTAGACCCAGAATAGCCAATGGTGTAGATGAAGGCTATAGGCAGTCTGCTGAACAATACCTCTTGGCAGGAGAGGTTGATGTTTTTGTTTTTGTTTTGCTCTATTCAGGCCTTTAACTGATTGGATGATACTAGCCCACATTATAGAGGAAAATCTGCTTATTTAAAGTTTATTGATTTAGATGTCAATCTTCTCCAAAGGAAAAAACCTCCATTTTGATACTAAAATTAATTGTAACAATAAGTAAAAAGAAAAGATTTTGTCTGTACATATTATATACTAGTATTGAATTTATTTTATATATATACATCATGTTGAATAAAACACAGAATAAAACATAATACCATGAAAAATAATTACATACTTATACCACAGAAAGGTTTTCACTACTATTTTGGTACTTTTATTCCAGTCTTTAAAGCCACATCTGTATAGTTAAGCTTATATCACCTGTACCATTTTTTATACTGGGTTATCACAAATTATTATATAAACATTTATCATACTACTAAAATATATAAAAATTATATTATTTTATCATATATTTATATAGGACTTTATGTAGCCTTTGCTTGGTAATTTACATTGCTGACAATTTTCTTTGTTATAAACAACGCTGCAATGAACATCTTCCTTGATAAAAGTCTCCATCTGCATGTTGACTTTTGTTTTAGATTACATTTGTAGGTAAGATTATTGGTTTTGATAAAATAAATATTATAACAAATATTTCATTGGGTTTAAATGGGATAATTGCAGCAGCAGATTTAAATTTTTATTGAGGGCTCTTTTTCTCTTACCAGTTTTTGAATTTGAATTTGTAATAGAATTTGAATCCTATTAGGAAAGATATCATTTAAGAGTCACTACAAAATAATCAGATCTCTAGAGCAGTCTCCTCACAATAATTTATTAGCATTTTAATAGGTTTTAGGTATTTAAACTTATTCTTCCAGAGTGCTTACCACTCTTTGTGGATGCTTTCTGTGAGACAGTTTCCTCTTGGAAGGCTGCACTGACCAGTTTTAGGGAACACATTGCTGCTATGTTAAGATTGTTTAGGCAGTGGAGACTAGAATTGAAGGATAGTGGTTGTTGTAAGGGCTAATTATACAGCTAATGGCTTTGCTTAACATATCCATAAGCATTTCCTAAACTGAGTCTTCTTTCTTCTTTCAATAGGATTCTTTCAAATGGGCAGATATTATGACACTGAGTTGGAGAGTGTTATCTCTATTCCCATACAAATGGCATCATATATTGATGCATTCAGACAGAAACCTAGAGAATATTTGGCAAACATCTTGTTTTTCACTGTTACTTCCATACACCCATGATATTCAGAGGTTACCCTGATGAAAACATAGATCTAAGGCCAAAATCTGCCGCTCACATTTGAATTTTGGCAAGTTTTAGATTAGAGAATCTCCTTGTATCTCTAAGATATACCTCATCAAAGGGAAGAAAACGAAGACGGTAGTAAAACGAGTAACTGTTTAGACAAAGCCCTCTAGGAAGCTGGAAGAAATGACATGGGGAGCAGCAACAGTGCCAGCATGGTGTTTTGAGCTCTCATTAGGTACTAGGCACCATGGTTTAATAATTTACATACATTATCATATTGATACTCACATGAACCAATGGAATACATGTATATTATTGTCATCCCCATTTTGTAGATGAAAAAATGAAATGTAAAAAAGGTAATAACTTGCAAAGAGCCACACAGTTAGAATATAGTCATATTAATTGGACAGAGTAAATTAAATCTCATCTACTTCTGTAACTGGCCTTTGACAGAACTAGAGAAGTATTCCTCTTGAATAATGGAGAGGTGAGAATGGGTAGGCACTAATGCAGTTAAATATGAAGAGAGGAAATATGAGGTGATTGAGCTTCTCTGAATGTTATTTTCTCTGTAAAGTAGGATACTGAGGTTCTGAATTTGGAAAAGGAAGGAATACCTTGAAGGGTGAGTATGGAGAGGAGGGTGACTTGGGAATACTAATGACTATTTCAAGTAGACATTGAGAGGACAGGCAAAAGTTGATTAAATACTCACAAAAAGGATGCCAAGCATTCCCAAGCACCCAGTGGAATCTGGAGGCTAAAGATAAATAGTGCATTCAATCACACAGTGGTTTGAAGAAAACTCCTGTGGCAGGAGCTACTAATGCATTTCATAGGAAATCCTAGCAGCATGTGAAATTCAGTAACTCCCTGGTTCCACATGATTCAGTTGGTGAAACCCCATCTCTACTAAAACTACAAAAAATTAGCTGGGCATGGTGGCGCGTGCCTGTAATCCCAGCTACTCAGGAGGCTGAGGCAGGAGAATTGCCTGAACCCAGGAGGCGGAGGTTGCGGTGAGCCGAGATCACGCCATTGCACTCCCGCCCGGGTAAAAAAACGAAAAACCCCCCCCTTTTAAAAAAAAAAAAAAAAAAAAAATAAGTAGCTGAATATATAAATTTTTCCAAATTTTAATTCAGCTAAAATATTTTTTCCTAATTCTTGTTAATTAGATTTTGTTTTATCTGTTATGAGGAAATTCCTAGAACTTAACAAAAATTATTAAAATCATATACAAATTTACCATATTAAACCATGGCACAAAGAATTCATAATTTTGTAAGCCAATCAGCTAATTAAACAAATAAAATTCTGGTAAACTTTGGAAAAACAAAAATAGTAAAGATACATAGTTTCCACTACCCTCAAGGGTCATACTGTGTAATGGTGCCTACACAAGAACAAATACATAATTACAGCACCTTATTATAAAAGCTATGACAGAGAAAGTACAGTGATATATTTGTCTGCTCTGGTTGCTATCACAAAACAACACAGACTAGATAGCTTAAAGAACAGAAATTTATGGTCTCACAGTTCCAGAAGCTAGGAGTCCATGATCAAGATGCTGGCAAGTTTGGCTTCTAGTGAGGGTTCTCTTTCTGACTTACAGATGGCTGCCTTCTTGCTATGTTCTCATGTGGTTGTCCCTCTGTGTATTCAGAAAGAAAGCTCTCTGGTGTATCTTCCTACCTCATTTATTCTTAATTATTTCCTCTGAGGCCCTATCTCTAAATACAACATCACTAGGGGTTGGGGCTTTAATGTATGAATGGGGATGGGGTGGGCAGAAGCATTTAGATCATAATGAGGATGCTGTTGAATTCCATATGAGAGCCCTAATCAGGAATGGAGGTGGTAAGACAATGCCTTCTGCAAGAAATGATTTTTAAGTTTTAACCTAAAGACTGAAGAAAGTTACTCAAATAAATGGGGAAGAGACAGGGGAGAGTGACCCAGATAGAAGCTGGGTGATTATCTGAAAGATCTATCAGAAGAGAGAGAGAAAGCATGACACTTTGGAAAGAATAAAGTAAGTTTGTTGGAGTTGACCCTTAAAATAGGATTAGGAAATGGAGGTGAGAAATTGGAAGTAGGAGGAATAGAAAGATAAGCAGGAGACAAATCATGCCTACATCAAAAAGGAAGAAAAACCTCAAATAACCTAACAATACATTTTAAAGAACTAGAAAAGCAAGAGCAAACCAAACCCAACACTATTTGAAGAAAAGGAATAATAAGCATCAGAGTAGAAATAAATGAATTTGAAATGAAGAAAACAACACAAAAGATAAAACAAAAAGTTGGTTTTTTGAAAAGATAAACAAAATTGCCAACCTTTAGCTAGACTAGCTTAAAAAAAGAAAGAAGACACAAATAAATAAAATCAGATAAATGGGAAGGAGACAGGGAAATGATAAGTGATAAAGGAGACATTACAACTGATAACATAAATTCAGAGCATCACTGGTGACTACTATGTGCAACTGTATGTAATAAATTGGAAAATCTAGAGGAAATGGATAAATTCCTAGACACAAAACCTACCAGTATTGAAACTTGAAGAAATCCAAAACCTTTACAGATCAGTAATAAGTAATGAAATCAAAGCCATAATAAAAACTCTCCCAGCAAAGAAAAGCCCATGACCTGATAGCTATATTTGGTAGAATTGTTGAATTCTACCAAACATTTAAAGATGAACTAATACTAATCCTACTCAATCTGTTCTGAAAAATAGAGGAGGGAATACGTACAAACTCATTAAATGAGGCCAGTATTACTCTAATACTAAAATTAGACAAAGATACATCAAGAAAGAAAACTATAGGCCAATACCACTGATGAGTTTTGATGCAAAAATCCTCAACCAAATAGCAAACCAAATTCAACAACACATTTAAAAGGTTGTTTAATTAATACTTGTTCATTCATCATGAACAAGTAGGAATTATTACAGATATGCAAGGATAGTTCAACATATGCAAATCTACTAACACGATACATAATATCAATGGAATGAAAAATCCATATGATTTTTTCAGTTGTGATATGGTTTGGCTGTGTACCCACCCAAATCTTATCCTGAATTATAATAATCCCCATGTGTCAAGGATAGGACCAAGTGGAGGTAACTGAATCATGGGGGTTGTTTCCCCCATACAGTTCTCATGATAGTGAGTTCTCACAAGATCTTATAGTTTTAAAAGGGGATTCCCGCTTTGCTTGGCACTCATTATCTCTCCTGTTGCCCTGTGAAGAGGTGCTTCTGCCATGATTCTAAGTTTCCTGAAGCCTCCCCAACCATGCAGAACTGTGAGTCAATTAAACCTTTTCTCTTTATAAATTACCCAGTCTCAAGTATTTCTTCATAGCAGTGTGAGAATGGACTAATACAATGCTTAAAAAGTATCTGATGAAATTCAACATCATCTCTTGATGAAAACCCTCAAGAAACTGGGTATAAAAGGAACATGCCTCAACATAGTGAAACCCACACATGACAGACCCATAGCTAGTATCATACTGAATGGGAAAAAAAACTGAAAGCTTTCCCTGTGTGTCTGGAACATGACAAGGATGCCCACTTTCACTACTGTTATTCAACATAGTACTAAAGTTCCTAGCTAGAAAAAGCAGACAAGAGAAAGAAATAAAGGACATCCAAGCTGGAAAGGAAAAGGTCAAATTATCCTTGTTTGCAGATGATACAATTTTATTTGGAAAAATCTAAAGACTGCCTCAAAAACCTGTTAGTACTCAGCAACAAATTTGATAAAGTTGCAGGATGCAAAATCAACATACAAAAATCAGTAGCATTTTTTATATGTCAGCAGCAAACAATATGAAAAAGAAATTTAAAATTTACCCTTTTTATGATAGCCACAAATAAAATTA